CTACTAGGTATATCCGCATGATCAGAACATAGCTAACTCGGGTATGGCATGACAACCAGCTTTCTTGTATCAAGCACTGTGGATATCAAAACGTGTGGGATCTCAAGAAGCTGTTGCTATAAATAAGATTAGCGGCTACGCTTATACGTAGCTTTACTTATCCCTGGGAAATGACTAATATAAAAATTGACAAAATCTAACAAGATATTAGCTTAACAGTGTCGGGCCAAAGATTATTTTATGGTGAACTAAATTGAAAAACCGTGTATTTCTGCTTAACATACATATATGCCTAGATAATGCTTTCTATCTAAACTTCGATTCAAGAGGACAACCGCGCTATGTTTATAGAAGCATCAAAGCAGGGATTTGTACAAGCAACCGAAATGTTTTCTTATCTAATAAGTTTATTTTAATCTCGTTCTCTAAAATGTGCCTCATTAGTGATAGATAACTAGTTAATATGAGTCTCATTTCTAATTCTTTTTTTGTGTATATTAAATGAGCCCGAATTTGAACTGTGAGGTTTAACTACGGAGGTCTACATAGCTGAACCCACTTTAATTCTCCATCAAAACCCGCCGCAGAATGTTCGCTGAAAAAATGACCGCTAAAAGGAAGCATGCCACATTTGGTATCAGTTGGTGATTATCCAATGTGTGGGTGTGGATGGATCTATCTGAGTTCTGCTTTAACAAACGGCCTGATAACAAGATACCATAGTAACTATTTGCCAGCGCTAAAATTTGAATCAGTAGAATAGAATGAAATTGGTTCCACGGCGGCCTTCACAGCGTAACGTTGCAGACAGACGTAAATGGCCTAGGCATATCCAAACTTTTTGAGCTTTTGACTTCACGTTTATTCTTTCGTCTACTGCTGTGTAATGGAATGGCTAAAACGCTCAAAGCAGCTTTTAACAGAAGTGATTTCTCTTGCATAAAGGGTGGAGCACTTACATCCAGACCGTTTCTTATGACTTGCTTTTTAGGCTCTATTTAAACGAAAACAAATTCTCTAACATTTTTTTTTGCATGTTCTATAAGTCTCATGACTAACGGTCATATCTAGAATAAAGGTTCAATTCAGGCCAAAATTGGTCACAGGCTTGTTTCAAATGTTCCCTCTCCGAACGCACGAATGAAATCTTTCCTGATCGCACGTGTGAGCGAGTTGACGTTAGCACGTTGAGACTTATGTAATCCTCGTTCAGTACGCTTACTTACAGAGTAATCCAATAGATCCAAACCTAGGCTCTTCGGTTGCCATATGTGTAGGATTGGCGCACAATATACCTTGCATTGATCGACTGCGATAAACTGGTGCATTGTCTATTTCTAGACAGTTTAGCTAATTGCAAACGTTTTGTAGAATATGCAGATAGACTTTTTTTGGCTATACGTTAGGTTCTTCTGAAAGGAGTATAGCGACATGACGTCTCTTTCATTGGATACCAAACACAAAGCATGAACTTTAACCGGAAATTTGCTTTTACCCCCAATTTTAAATATATCCTTTAGATTTTGAGCAAACTAGAAATTATTTCCCTTAATGGTGAATTTTTCTATCAATAATAACGACTTCCTCGTCAGAGAGGAATCGAAGCGCATCTGCTGCTTGTTCTTTGAAGGAATTGAGAAGCAAATAGTATCGATAAAATCTCTTGATTTTATCATCCTCAGCGAACAGCTATCTGACTTCTGAGTTTGGCGTACACTTGAGGTCCTCGTGACAAGGCATTCTAAGTCCCCCTAAGTGTCCCGATCCAAAAAAAAATTCCAAAAAAAAGAGTTCTTTTTTGGTGGGCATCGATTAATTTTCAAGTCAGCCTTGTTTTCTTTTTATCATCAATTTTCTACTATATTGTGCTAGCACCTGCTCCTTCTGCAGCCGCACGAGCACTTCCAATGCTGTGGACTGTCGATCTGAGGTACCTCAAGAATTTTATAAACTTGCTTGGGTTCGTCCCGCAGGAGGGCAGTACACAATAGCTGACCTTTGCTCAAATTCCGTAAATGACGTACTGTTCTTTATCATGACAAGTTTTTCGTCTTAGAATAAACTGGCTTTTTTTCTGGCGGCGAGAGTAGATGATGAACGCATGCCCTCTATGACAAACGGCCCACCATAGTTTGTTTAAATCTAAATACCGTGTCCATTATATATATATATATATATGTCGTCAGAAAAAGAAAATCTATGGAACTGTATACGCATTCCTATATTTTTGGTTGGTAGGCGAAGCAGATGCCAGAAAACGGACAGCATCAATCCGGGGTAACAGGCCCAAGGTAAAAAAAAATAGGTTGGTAATTTTTCATGTGCTGGAAAAGCTGACCAGTACGATTTATTAAGATATATTAAATATACAATAATAATGTCCTTACAGTATGGATTGCTTGAAATCGTAAATAGCAAAAAAAAAAAAAAATTGAGAATCGCTGAAAATACCTCAGCGCCTATAAGTGACGTAAATCGTGTCTATAATACGAGATAACGCAAAGCAGATCGGTAGCGGTTTTTTAAGTAGAATCATCTCGCTACAGTAGACGCTCTCAATGAAGCAATGGATAAACAAAATAAGGCAGCTAAATTATTCTGTACGCAATTGCCATACCTAAAATGCTATGATACCTGTTAATATTAACGAATGATCACTGCTTCAGGACTAACAACCACAAACAAGAGCCTTAATAATTTTTATACTAAATACGACCTTATTAAGCAAGCTGATCACTAGCACTCAGTGTTGACTGAATTACCTTCGCGAAGCTCAATGCATAACATGCATGAGGTTTCTTTGTTTTCTTTTTCTATAGGTAACAGATACCCAGAGTTTGCATTAGTCTATAGGGTAGCCGGAAAACAATCTGCTGCACCCGATAATCAATGAGAGCACGTGAGGGAGAATATGGTTAATCAGAGAAACAAGTAAATGTTTCAAGTATTTCGTTCGATACTAAAGCTGTTAAGCATTTGACCGTTAACTTGTAATAAAGAAATGGGTGTGTCTACTGCTGGTCTCAATGCTAAATTTACTATACGAACGCGTTACTGCAACACTAGCCCAAGTGCTATAGAGGGACTCGGCATTTTGGGCGTAGGACCCGCTGGGTACGGATGGTAGAAACATCCAGTGAAAACCAGTAAACGTGTTGAAATCGCTCTAGTTGATATTTTTGTCAGTTAGATTGCTATTTCCGTTGCCATCGCCATGTTGCCTCGGCAGAGGAACGGATACCGATACAACTATTATAACTACAACGTAGTAGTTTGTCCTCTGCTGTTTATCGACCAAGTCACACAAACACATTTGATAAGTTCCTACCGTGGATCTGTCGGTACGTCTGCTTCTGTATGCTGCCCGTTCATCCATGCGTGTTTTTACGTTGCAGCATTGACATCCACTCTTTCCTTACGGCGCTCCAGTCTATATAGGCGCAGTTGCAACATCGAACACTTCTTAACCAGCAGAGCCGGCAGCAAACGTCACCGTCGACGTTGCTCAAACTGACAGCGTTCGAGCTGACTGCAGATGCATGAGACTCTTCACAGTCCACAACGTGTCTGGCTATCTGTCTGTTATTCGATCAAATGATCGAAAGCTGAGCACAAAGAGAGAAAACACAATACGATGATTTTGTATTATAACATAGCGTGGCGACACGCGGCAATAACCTTTGGTGGCAGTTATAAATGTAGCTAAGATAGTCTGAAGATATCTGGTGGAATCTGTAAGAATAGCCAAGAAGAAACGAACTGCAACAAAGGACGACCTGTACATATTCGAATGACACCGATCTATTTGTATTGTATATAGATCCCGTTAATTGGTGGCGGAGAATGTAGGAATTATCACTGGGCTATGTCTCGTACGAGTGACCTGAGAGCCGACGAAAGGATAGTGTTCGTGAAAATGGGTCCTCTCTATCGTATAAGACATCCGACTCTGTGAATCTGAGTGCGTAAGTCTATGTATATTTTCATCACTTATCGTTTGTTACTTATGCTGTACAAACTTTTACCAGCAGGCCAAGGCAGGACTGCGTTACGATGCGAAATTGTGTCTTGTATGTGCTTCTGCGCTTGGAGAAGTATAGATTATGGTTGTCTTAAGAAGTGACCAAAGGTAAAAACGAATTTAATGCATAAGTATATGTAGCCTTATCACATCTATAGTTTTTATAACTAATATATTTTCTACCCCCTGATGCAGTCTAGATAACGATATTAACACGTTACAAGCGCAGCACGTCTTTGATGGCATCTGTTCGGTCTTAATACGCTGGGCGTTCTAATAATACCCCCGTACGAATTATGTATGTCATATAACATCTGCGTTCAACATTAAGCTATAATTAGATGAACCTGTCGTAGCCCAGATCAGCGAGTTGGCTTGCTAACAAACGTCTCGCAATTCGATCGGTGTCGCATCGCATATACCTTCGTTGTACTCGGCTAAAAGGAGCGGCCATCAGTATCCATTGATATCATCGATGTTTCGTTTATTGGCAATCATTCTGATAAGCTAGATAAGCGTTCTGGGCCGGCGACAATAACTGAAAGCCAGCCTGAAATCAACCGCAGATTGTTCATTGCTACCGCCCCTATGTAATCGGTCGTCAGCAACTCAGGCTATACGCGTCAGTGGAAAGGGTCACATACTGTAATCCACCAGTCAGGTGCCGCGGCCATTTTTATTATATTCTAGGCTAGTGCACTTTTATCGCCTGTAGCGAGCTCTGCGCCCTACCTATCGACCCGCCTGCCTGGTTAGTTGGCAGCCCCATTGTCTATGCGCGCTGCCAAGGTAAGGACGCCAGTGCTGACCGAGCTCCCGGGGGCTCTCTCTCTCTCACTCTCTCTCTCTCGCTCTTTCTCTCTTGCGCGCGCTCTCTCTGTTCAAAAGGGCAGAAGGGGGTGCAGTGGACACTTTCTCGCGAGGGGGGAGGCACACGTTTGGTCGGCCTCGAGCAGAATACGCCTTGTGCGCTTGGCCCCGTTGCCTAGTAGCCGGCTGCTGGTTGTTTAGCTGTCGGCGCAACCTGCAGCAACCGACTCCACACTGACCTATACCCCGAGCGTAGTGCTGCTATCTAAAGGTCCCGTGTCAGTCCGATAACTTTCCTACATATCCTATCGCATACCATGAAATAGATTAGACTGGCTATTGCACGCTATTGTGTCACGTATTAACGGGTTACTAGTAATTTGCCCATTGCCCGTCGGTTTGAATACCCAGCCGGGCAGCTAGTTACGCGGCAGACTCACTCTGGAAGCCGTCCACAATGACGAGCGGGTGGCGAGCTAGAGCTACTGTAGTTATCGTCTCCAGTGGCGACCACCGCTGAGTACTCGCGTAGAAAGGAAGACAGCCAGATAGGCAAAGAGGAAGAAAACGAGTGAAAGGTTCAGTTTCGATAAAGCGTGTTTCCTACGCCTGTTGTGTAATAAGATGTAACATTAGTGCTCCGTGCGGTATTCTGATGTCGATCTTTTTTGGTGTTACGCTTCTTTTGTTCGTGTGTATAGCTGGTGGCTTCTTCTGTCCGTGTGTATAGCTTTTACAAGATCTTTGCAAACGTTCAACGTGTATACGAGGCCAATGTGTTACTGCAATTTTTATCGGCAACAGGAAGAGGCCTTTTGCACGTGTGACGTTGGTCTATCGACTGGATCTCACACTAGAACAGTACACACATAACAACAAGAGAACAACAGAGGAAAAGTACGCCAATAAGCTATTTATCTGAGTGTTTGTTGTTATTTGCTGGTGCTGCTTTTGTTACGGCTATTTCTGCTGGGCGCGGAATGAGTGACTGTAAGAGGGAGCAAAACGGAAAAATGGACTCCGGTTGATTTGCCTATTGTAAATTAACGCGAGTGTGTGGTGTCTAATAGTTACGACATCTGGTTTGGCCGGTGATGGTTGATTTCCATGTGTGCTTCTTCAACGCACTGGCGTACTCAGCCAATTGTTCAGAATAGTTGGCTGATCAGCTGTGTAAGACAAGGTAGGGCCCAAATTCAAGTCAAGTGGGAGAAAAATTTCAGTAAAAACATTATTTAGTTCTAATGGTACCGACGATGATTGTAGTGAATAGAGATTTGGATGATTTCATTAAGTAATCCGGACAACCTTACTCTACACATAAAATGGAAACAAAAGCCATTCACATCTACTGCGGGTGATCAAAGTGGGTCTATTTCTATTGACGTTCATTGACGACTTAGCGATTTGGAGCTAATGATTTTTACGCACCCAAACAGAATTTATTATCTGAAATGGGTAGTAAAGGCGACAGTGTTTGGTCTATTTTCCAATCCACCTGGGCAGTGGCAGCATTTAAATTAGCTTCAAAGGCTTTGCATAATACTAGGACCACATGTCCTTTAGGCCGCTTCCTGTGTGCTACCTATCTGTGAACGAACATTTTGCTTAGACGCTTACGCTTTGTTCAAGTGCATTGGACTGACCTGTCAAATTAAGGAGTGTATCTGCTTTCGAAATAGTGCCGGTATCTGTGACACACGATGACAGACGACATTATATTTAAGCATCGTGAAACTTACATGGATACATTTCTCTACTTAGTTTATAAGCGAGATTCTATTGATATTATTTGCGGTGCTAAGCTGATACGCTTTTTGAACAACATATTAACCAGATATATCACTTAAAAAGTGTAATCTAATAGCTAATCCTCTTATGGATTTCTCTTTACGCCACTCAACTCGTTCATTGGCCTGCTTTAATTTAAAGCGAACATATTGAACATCGATTGCATGAATCATGTAACATATATGATGGTTCTAGTTTTTTGTTTTTTTTTTATGGAATAAATAATACAGAACCATTGTTAGTAAATTAAATAAAAAAAAAATAAGTTATTAAATTGCTAAAGCAGTTTATGATTTTATCGGACAACGTTCAATAACTGAAACATTTGTCCTAACCTTTACCTTTATTGAATACTTTTATAACCTAACATTTATTGAATCATCGAGTTGTCTTTCGTAATGGAACCACCGCTTATAACACGATATTCGCGTGAAGTTCTCACTGATTTTTCAGAGTTTACTACTACTACCACGTGTTCCTACTGACACGTTGCTTCATACCGAAGCAATAGCATATTGAAGAACTAGAAAAAATGAAAGTCTACATCCCTCTGAAATAGTAATAACTTGATTCCTGTATTATTATATATACCGCAGCATGCACCGTTTGTCGCGAAAGAACAAAGAAAACATACTTATCCTATAAGTATATTTTCTTTGCTCTTTCTCAACTTATAGATTATAAAACGTCCTTCTTTGTTAGAGTGACTGCAGTGTTTCTTGCTGCCGATTAACGATAATGATTTATACACACGAGTATAACATAGCCTAAATCTAGCCTGTACATGTTCGAATCAGGTTGTGTTTAAAGTAATATTCTCATTTTTATAAGCATAGTTAACTGAAATCTTAGAAAATTTCTAAAAATTTAGAAATCTAATTACACAATATACTAATAATATAATAATTTTGCCGTTGCTATCATAGTCTCTAAACATCGTGAAGATTTTTAAGCTCTGTTCAGCCACAGTGAAAAACATCATCGATTCACGATTAGATAACCGATAACGTCATCAGCTCAATAGAGTATTATTAAAAAGCCTCCCAGAACACAAATAGAAGATAACATTTATAATGAGTAAGTAGCAGCAAACAAGCTGCGGCGCGAACTACACGCTGACTGCAAACCGAAACGCGCGCCTATATTTCTTACGACACTTTTAAATCACGCCGTCGCTCTATGGAAAACGTTACTGCAGGTCGAGGACTGTCGTAAAGCGTACGACATTCGTTGAACGGGTAGAGATTTGAAAGCGACGATGATCGTCGACGTGGGATCTGGCGCACGCTGAATGCGCGGTAAATTATTGCTGTCATTCATGATTATACGTATTTACAAACAGAACCGATACGGCGTAGTCATCTGAGGCATCGTGAACGCAGCAGCTCCAACTTGACACGAAATCAGATCGATTTTGATAAATGATTTAGCGGTCGGAAGCTGGCGAGCGACGGAGTATTGGACAAATATTTTCTTAACAGCATTAATGATATTCTGTTTGCCAGAGATGACACTGAAGACGATAGCACGACTGTCAGGTGAACGACCCCTTAAAACAATGCCATAATGTCCTAACGAACTGATCGCTTTGAGAAAGGCCTGCCCTGATAGATGAAATTATGGAAGATTGACGTGTGACGCTCTATGTGATGAACGCATTGCAACGCCGTGCGAGGTTCATCAATTTTGAATCGGTGGACTGCCAAAACAGCCGTCAAAAAAATGGCTAGCAGACGATTTCGGTAGTATGCCTTGATTCGCGCTACTAAGTAATAATAAGAGCACAGTATGACGATATATATTAGAATATGTATTTAGAATATAGAATTAGCAAAATTATCGTTTCGACGCATTTGACAGATCGTAGTTACTGAAGGTCGGCCCACATTTATACGTTCATAATTAAGATCAAAGGCAGTAGCTGCCTCGTTATTCAGGCGGCCAGGCTAGATTACGTATATCTAGCCTACTCGCCATATATGCGTAACCCCTGCAAGCGTTACATGCCAAAAGTTGTTTCCTTTGCTTCATGCCGTAATTAACAAAGCTATCTACACAGGCATGATGCATAATGTCGCTAGCCGGCTGTAATTACGATCCATTCGTGGTTAGATTCAACAATACAATACTGAATGAAAAGAAAGTGGACGCAGTGCTTTGTACGATAGGGGTTACTGCAAAAACTAATCGTTCATGTACGATGCCGTGAATTCAGCCGAGTGCGGCAGTGAACCCTACATTCGATTGCTAGTTGAGGTCGGTGTGGGTGTTCTATTCGTAGGTAAAAGACCTAGTACTGGCTAAATGCATGTTTTATGGGAGAGCAGGTTATGCCATATGTTGTTGGCGTATGTTGTAGATGAATGTTCTGCTGATCTGAAAACCGAAGTGTATATTGTCGTAATATTCTAAACTCTGGCTAAATATCCGACCTTAAAGTGTTTTAAACCTTTTGGTTGCCAATGATCTGTTATGAATGATGAGCTAATATACTTGTTCGAAACATCAACCCAAAATGATTCAATTATAGGTAGGATATGAATGATTAGATATCAGTAGTTTGCTTATGCCCTGATATCATTACTCACTAGGTGAAGCTATACTAAATTTGCCAGGTATATACACATGCGTAACCTAATTAAGAATATTTATCTAGCCGCGCGATGCCCAGGTCAGTACTTGGCAAGAACGATTTCATAGTAATGCTTGTTACCACGATATAATGCTAAAGATGTCATAATAGGCTGCTCGAGAGGACAGATGTACAACTTGTGGTGAATGTGAATGAAAATAGGTCTTGACGAAAAGTCATTTCGAAGTTAGGCCAAGTTCTCGTGTCTATAATACATTTGATTTTTCCCCTGTTATAGCAAAACAGAATCGCAATGGATCGGAGCTCTGTGACGCGCACTGGTGCGAAAAAGCAATCTGGACTATATCTGATACGCGCTATCACTCTGACCACTTCCCGTAAAATGAACTATAGATCTTAAATTACTCTTAGTCCATGATTGACGTTAACTATAAAAGCGTAGAAATGTCCATACTCTTTGCGCTGGAGAGCCAAAATACTCATAATCAATTCGTCATATGCGTCAAGGATTTTAGCAGTTTACATATTTAAAAACGTTAGATATCTATAATATGTTACTTGAACTGCGCTTTGTATTATAATGTGGAAATATTGCATAGATTTTAAGAGATGTCAGTTACATAGTGAAGACTGTTTCTCTGTATGCTGAATTTTATGGATTCCCTAAAATTGTTTAATGCGAATTAAAGCGTTTTCTAAAAGCGCGTAAAATCAGAGTAATTTCATAGCCCGAATTCGAATGCAGACTATAAAAATATTTAAAAAAAAGTATAAAAATTTGTCCAGATCCTTTATGACCTAGAAAAGACTACAGAGGGGCCGAATAAGACCAGCGACGATGGAAAAATATGCACACAACACGTTAAGCCCGAAATGGTCTAGAAGAAGGGTCTATCTAAGCTTCGTATATTTGAATAGACGAAGTAAAATTGGAATAATTTTTTCGACATATTGCGCTGCCCTGCTTAAGTAACGAGAGTAATGTTACTGTGTATAACTCGGATAAAAAGGAATTACATTTCAACATTCAACGATTTCGCGTCAATAACGATCAATCTCAAGCCAGATGTATTTTAGTAGAGGTAAGTCTTTAATATGAATGCCATTTCGGCACATCGCCCAAATCTACCGTAGCGATAAATCTACAGGCATTCACGAGTCCAACCCTGAGCGATTTGCACACCTGTAGTAATGACGTCGCAAGTTTATAAAAAGTAATTCATGAAGTTAATAACAAAACATGACGTTAACACGACGCGCGTGTAAGTAAATGTGTAGGAAACTGTTTAAAATCCCTATCCTAAGTGAAAAATTACAATCGAACAATGTGCTAATAAAGCTGCCTTATTCTAAAGTGGGATTTCATTTTTTTCGGCTGCTATAAACTTCCCACATTTATTCACCAAAGTTTTTGCCTCCGTTTACACATGTTACAATCTATAGGGCATGTTCATACAGGTAGAGGAAGTTAGGAAATTAAGAACTTTCTTAACAAATTTATGGGCATATGAGCGATGGCATGAAATCATAAATAACTTCGTAAATCTGAATTACGTTGGCTACGCTTCCGAATCTACTTTTCTATGTAAACCATGTATTATCAGTTTTTTAGCGCAGTTATACGTTCTCACAACCGTAACGTAACGCATTAGTGGTGCTTCACACTTTCTGAAAATGGACTTTTCCTAAAGGTACGCTGTTTTATTGATATTACAGCATTGTGAGAAGACCCTCCTCAGTGTTCTCTGACATAATGGATGTCGCATAATTGCCTCTGTTCCAAGCGCAATTTCGCCACA